ACAAATCAATTTTTATATCGTCAGCTATTTCATTATTAATTGATTCATCGACCGGAATTAGATTTTTATTCGATCGTTATTATTATTATTATTATTATTATTATTATTAATATTCGATTTCGTTTGCATTATCGTTCGTTCGCGAATAAATCGATATCGTTTGGAAAAAAAAAAAAAAAATCGGGCTGAATCAGCGTGAAAAATTTTTTAAAAAGGCTATCGTCATCGTCATCATCATCATCATCATCATCATCATCGTCATTGTCGTCATTATTATCATTATTATCATCAGGTTGAAAAAATGTCCGTAACGTAATAAAATAATAACGCGACGGGAAAAAAAAATTTTTTTTTTCTTATTGTAACATGGGTAAGCGGATACGCGTTCTAATTAGTTTTGATTTGGTTTGTTTCACCGAACAATTATTATTATTATTATTATTATTATTATTAATAATAATAATTCACGTAAGAAAGGATTTCGATTGAAGAAAAAAAAAAAATCGATAATAATGATAATGAGAAACAAATGACCGGTCCAAAGAAGAAAACTTAAGATTCGGTGGAAAAAACGCGAGTTTCAAAATTTTGTCCTTAATTCGCTTTAATTTCATTTCTCTTAATTTAAAAAAAAAAGTTTTGGCACAGTTTGGAAACTTTTTCTTCAATATAAAGGCTTCTTTCGTTGTCTCCTCAAAAAAAAAAAAAAAATTGTTTTTTCTTTTTTCGTACGAACAACTTTCAAACGAAACAAACTGTCGTAAAATGAAATATAATTTTATAAATTATTACTCTCGGGGGGGGGGGGAGGAAGGGTAACAAACAAACGAGTAGCACAGCAAATAAATTGTTTGTACACTTTTGATTTAAATAGCCTACGGAAAACAAATAATAATAATAATAATAATAATAATAATAAAACTCGCGCATATTCATTGTTTTTGTCATTAACCAGTATAAAGAGAATAACGTAACACTTTGGCCTGGCTCGAAAAAAAGAAAAATTATTATTATTATTATTATTATTATTATTATTATTATTATTATTATTATTATTATTATCATTATTCATGTTCTTGTTTACGTTTCGAATTGTTATTAATAATGATTTTTCGTCACTGACAACAAAAAAAAAATTTTTTTTAAACCTCAACGAATTTTTTTCTATCTACTTCATTATTACATTTTAATTGCATTACGACAAAAGTTTTTTTTTTTTAGGTCACGTGAATCTCGTTGTTATCTTAAAAAATTTTTTAAATTTTCTCCTTCACCTTCTACCCTCCCACAGGTTCCTTTTTTTGGGGGGGGGAATGGGAAAAATTTTTTTTCCCCAAAAAAATTGCAAAAACAGTTTATCGTTATTATGTTTACTGTTTTGTTTTGGTCTTAATCGACTCGATTATTAAATTTTCGCCCACACGTGATTAAAAAAACATATTGATTTGACTTTCAACAACAACAAAAATTTGTTGTTTGTTTGTGTTTGTATGTTTTCTCGCAAATGGGAAATTTCTTTGACACGAAATTACAAGTGAAAAAAAAAATAAAAGAAATCCGAAGTAAAAAAAAAATAAAATGGATTTTAAAAAAAAAGTAACAATAAAAAAAAGAATTTTTAAGGTATTTTAAATCGAAAAAATTCGGATTAAAAAAAAAAAATGGGGGGAGGGGAAAAGGGCTCCTTTTATCGATGGATTGTGTGTGGGGGGGGCGGGGAGGATTGCCCTTTTATTATATTTTATCATGAACGTAAGATCGAGTTTTTTGTTATGCACGTAGTATTAAAATATTTAGTGCAATGTTAATGTCAAAAATATTTGGAACAATCAATATTTTGTTGTTTGTTTTCGGTTGTTTCGGGTTCGACAAACTCACTCATTCACTCACTCACTCACTCTCTCATTTGTCAATCGATGGCGACGTCAAAAAAAAAAAAAAAAAAAAAAAAACAAACGTCATCGAGTTTTTTATTAAATAAAAATATTCTCGTATCCTACTCTCGAAAACGAGTATTAATTATTTATATTTTTTTTTTTCTTTGTTTAGGTTGGCACTACGTAAAAAGTAAAATTTCAGGTTTTCGAGTTTTTTTATTTATTTATTTATTAATTCTCTCGATCGATACGAGATACTACTCGGAGTAGGATACTGTAGAGAGGAACTTGACTAAATCGTGGTACGATAAAAAAAAAAAAAAAATTTCCATTCGAAAATTTCCGCCATTTTGTTTTTCGCATTTCCAGTTTTTTTTTTTTTTTTTTTTTTTTAAAAAAATGTTTTGCAAAAGTATATCCTATCCGCATGTTTTTTCATTATCGTTCCTTATTATTATTATTGTTACTAGTCTGGTTTATTTGAAATTTTCACATGCTAAAAATTTTTTAGGTTTCGTATTATTATTAATATTATTATTATTTTTTTTATTACCAACATAAAATTTATCTGACTCCAAAGACACGAATTAATTACGGGAAATGTTTTGACTCCAAAACGGAAACCTTGAAAGATAAATTTTAAATTTGCATTTATTTAGGTTTAGAAAAAAAAAAATTTTTTTTCACGTTTTAAATCTGCGAACCTGATTCCCTGAAGTTATTATTATTATTATTATTATCATTATTATTTTTATATGTTTTACAACGAAATTAAATTTAGCGTTTTACAACGGAAGTGAAATTATAATAAAAATATTTTCGGAGCTATGAAATTAAAAAAAAAAAAAAAAAGAAAAATGTCGTCGACTGCTGCGTGCTTGTTGCGTGTTGTTGTTGTTGCTCTTCGACAATGATTGTTTGGCATTGTTAAATTTAGTCGTGAAACTTTTACTTTTTTTGTTATTTCTTCATTTACGTTTTGTTGTTGTTGTTTATTTTTAGATTATTTGAATTTTTGCGATAATTTTTTTTTTGTTTTAAATTAGGAAATAAAAATTCACGTGTGCGGACTCAAAACCTTTGTTTCCTCTCTCTCTCTCTTCTAGTTTCTTTTTCCTCCAATTTTTTTTTTTTTTTTTTTGTGATAAATAAATAAACCCCCCGAAGGAAAGTAAAAAAAAAAAAAAAATTTCTTTAAATTTTTCGTCGACAACCACAACGTAGACGACGACGACGACGACGACGACGACGACAAGGACAAACAGACAACAACCACTTCATTTTTAGAATTAAATTTCAATGTCAATAATATATATATATATATTTCATTTGTCAATATTATTTCGTTGTCGATTGTTTGGACAAAACGATATGAATGATTGTTGTTCCGGTTGTTTGTTGCATCCTTTTAATTTTTTCTTTGTATTATCATTCGGACAGAACTTTAAACTTTTTGATTCTTCTTAAGAAGGAGAAGGAGGAGTAGGAGGAGGAGATGGATGAGAAGGAAACTCGTGTCTCCTTCATTCAATACGATAATTTTTTGTTTTTTTTTTTTTTTTTTTTTTTTTTGTTTGTTTGTTCATTATTACTTTTTTATTATTTTTAGTTATTTAAAAAAAAAAAAAAAAACTCTTCCTGTCGCGTGACAAATAATTATGACATTCGTTTGTTTTTAAATAGTGAGAGAGAGAGAGAGAGAGAGAGAAAGAGAGAAAGCGGTAAAATTGACGACAGCATTGAAAATAATAATAATAATTCGATAGGTTTAAAAATTTTTTTTTTTCAATTAAAAACAAATTAGCACTTGTTTGTTGCCATTGGTTGGCCATTTTGTTTTTTGTTTGTTTTTCGGTTAAATTGACCTTTAAAGCTAATTATAGATCGGGAGCGTGTAAAACAGACGTTTTTATTACGAATATTTGTCAAGTCAAAATTTTTTTTCATCTGTAAAATATTTTGACGTGAGAGTGCAACAACAACAACAACAATCGCAACATGTTTTTGCGTTGTTTTTCCATCTCCCTTCGTGTTTGTTTTCCCTTTTTTTTTTTTTTTTTTGGCTCTTTTCGGTAAAGTTTGAATCCATCGTGTTGTCACGGGTAGCACGTGTTAATTTGTTTTCGTCACGGAGATGATACGAATAAAAAATTAATAATAATAATAATAATAAAACATTTATTGGATGATGTTTTCGGTACGGATTTAAAACAAAATCATCTGAAAACATTTTTACTGGGATACTGGTTTAAAAATAATAATAATAATAATAATAATTTTTATATAAATCAAGATTAATGAAAATACAAAAAAAAAAAAAAAAGAGAAGAAAACAATTTTTTTTGATTGCGTTCAATGGTTGTTCAATTTGTTGTTTTTGTTTGGGGGAAGCTGGGGAGCGGGGGGTGAGAGGCAGGGGGAAGGAATAATCCATTGAGTGTCGAATATAAATTAAATTAATATATAAAAGGATATAAAGGAAGAAGAGGTTATGTAAGAAACTCGTTCGTCGCGCTCTCGTTTTTTCTCTTTTTCTCTTTTTTTTTTTTTTTTACGTAAGATCGAACGAAACGAATGTTTTTGGTAACAAACAAAAACATTGGAAAACATAATTTTTTAATACTAATTTTTGTGTTTTGTTTTTGTTTTTGAGCGATGATTTTTTTGTAATGTTTGTTCCGTGAAAAATGTTTGATTACGTGACATAAATCAGTTAATATTAAAATTTGTTTCCTTAAAAAATCCCACGGTGATGATAATAATATTTAAATTTTGATTGTTGTTTGTTAATCTTAATTTTTTTTTTGTTTGTTTTCTTTTTTCAGGTTCAAGAATGCCTTAAAAACAAAAATTGTAAATCAATAAAAAAACTAAAAGAAAAATCGTTGGTTCAAAAAAAAAAAAAAAAAAAATTAATTTTTTATTTAAATGTCGATTGCGCACAATATATTCGTTTGTTCGTTTGTTGTTTAAAAAGAAAAAAAATGTTTGTTCTTAAAATATTGTATTGAGGAAGAAGAAGAAGAAAAAAAAAAGAAATCATTTTTCGAGAAATGAAGTGACGTTTATGATTTTAATAAAATTACAAATAAATGTATGATTAAGAAGAAATCAATTAATAAAATGGATAAAACTTTCGCGTTGTTTTTTCTCACTGTGGTTGTTATTGTTTGTTCCGTATTGGAATGTTTTGCATTGGAAGGACCAAATGTTTGCACGAGACAAGAAGAGTAAGTAAATTTGATATTTTATCATTATTATCATTATTATATTACTTATCGAAATTCGAACCGTCGAAGGGAAGTGATTTTAAAACGAAAATTAATAATAATAATAAAGTGCCATTTTGCAATTTTTTAAAAGGAATGAAATCATAAAAATTTCATTAATTTATTAATAATTAAGCGGGGAGGTACGGGGGGGGAGAGGAAGGGAAAGAAAAATTAAATCAAATGAAATCGTTATCAGTTTATCAACACAATAAACTTTTTTATCTTTATTCTTTTTTTCTGTAAAATTAATAAACAGGTATACCGTCGTGGTACGAGTACCGAAAAAAAAAATGGTTCAAACTCGTTACTACGGATGGTGTTTAGCGGTTCCACCAAAATGTACCAAATATAGAATGGAAGTGAAAACGGTTTACGAAAATGAAACGATAACAAAAACGAGGCCGGTAGAAGATTGTTGCAAAGGTTACACAAAAAGCAATTTGGAAGACATATGCATACCTGTTTGTTCTAATAATTGTCTTCACGGTACTTGCGTTGCTCCGGAAAAATGCAAATGCGAACAGGGTTACGGAGGACCCACGTGTAGCGTCAGTTAGTATCAAAAAAAAAAAAAAATCCGATTGTAAACGTTCGCTGGAACTTTTTTTTTTTTTTTAATTTTTGTTTTCACTTTAATTTTTTTACAGGTTGTCCCGAAAACAAATGGGGACCCCAGTGCGAAAATAATTGTCTTTGCAGTGCAAACGGATTTTGTGATCCGTTCGATGGAAAATGCATTTGCAAAAGCGGGTACCGCGGTACTCATTGTTCTCTAGAATGCCCACCCAATTATTACGGAGAAGATTGCGCCGAAAAATGTCAGTGTTTAAACGGTGGAAAATGCGATCACGTATCAGGGGAATGTCACTGTCCATCGGGATGGATGGGACCTTTGTACGGTTTATATTTGACGTTTGATAAATAATGTTTTTTGTTTGCATGATATCGCGTCATAACGACGAATATCGCTTTGTGTGTGTGTTTTTCAGATGCGAAGATCCATGTCCGAACGGTAAACACGGTGAAGAATGCGGGTCCGAATGCAGATGTCAAAATGGTGGAACATGTGATTCGTCAACTGGAAAGTGTTATTGCACTCCCGGATGGACGGTTGGTTTATTTTTTTCGTCCCCCTATCGTGTAAAAAAAAAAAAAATTATTTTGTCCTAAATTTTTGCATCGAAACGTTATCACTTTTATTATTATTATTATTATTATTATCCTTAATTTCTTGTTTCGTTTCCCTCTCTCCAGAATAATATGAACGGCGTTATTAATATTTTTTTATAGGGTCCCGTTTGCGGCAATAGATGTCCTTCGGGTATGTGGGGCGTTAATTGTAATCAGTCATGTGATTGTTTTAACAAGGGAGAATGCGATCACGTAAATGGTAAATGCACTTGTAAACCAGGATACAGAGGGGAAAAGGTCGGTTTTTATCGTCTGGAAAAAAATATTGAAAAAAAAAATTGTTTACGATAGTTATTGAAAATCTTTTTGTTTTTTTCTCCAGTGCACGGATTATTGCGAAAAAGGTTTTTACGGAGAAAATTGTACATCGGAGTGTACGTGCTTGAACGATGCCTCTTGCGATCCAGTTACAGGAGAATGTAAATGCAAACCGGGATGGATTGGTAAAAATTGCGCACAACAAGCTTGTCCCACGGGATACTACGGAGAAAATTGTAAAAACATATGCGATTGCGAAACTGAAAATACCGAACTGTGAGTTTTTTTTTTGTTTTTATTTTTGTTTCCTAAAAAAAGAAGAAGAAGAAGAAGTGTGGTTTTCTGAAAAAATTTTTTTTTTAAATTCGCACGGCGTGTTAAAATGGTTATTATTTTAGTTACACTTCACACAAAAAACTAAAATTTCGTGGCAGCAAGAAAAAAAAATAGAAAACAATACGACAAAGTTCTAGGTTGAAAAACAAGTCATTAATAATTATTTTGTTCCAGTAAATTTTAGACGATTTCATAACCGTAATCATAATTACGTTCCATCCGCCATTGTTGTTAAGAATTTTTATAACTTTTTGTTTTGACAAAAAATAATAATAATAATTTTTTTTCTTACATAATTTAACATTGAAATTTGATTTCGCGGTTGTTCACACGAGTTTTTTTTTTTTCTCAAAAAAAAACGTTAAAATTATTTTTCCAGGTGTCATCCTGCGACGGGAGCATGCAAATGTAAACCTGGTTGGGATGGCGTCGTTTGTTCCCGACCGTGTCCATTTCTCAGATACGGTCCTGGATGCAGTAAAAAATGTAATTGTTTAAACGAAGCTTCGTGTTCTCCGATCGATGGAACGTGCATGTGCGCTCCCGGTAAAAAAAAAAAAAATTTGTTTGTTTTGTGTGTGGATCCTTTATACGTGTTGAAACATTTTAATGTTTTTGTTTTTGTTTCCCCCACGCAAAGGATATAGAGGAAATGATTGTAGCGAATTGTGTCCAAACGGTACATTTGGAGAAAATTGCGCTCAAAATTGTTTTTGTAAAAACAACGCGGAATGTTCATCCGAAACGGGAAGATGTAACTGCACTCCGGGTATTTAATTCGATTTAAATTATGGGAGAAAAAAAAATTTTTTTATGTTAATAATGTATATTCTTAAGGATTTTCTTAATTTATTTTCAGGTTGGATGGGTTTGCAGTGCGATCGACCTTGTAATGGAACGTACTACGGCCCTGAATGTTCTTTACCTTGCAAATGTCAAAACAATGGATTGTGTGATCCGGTCACGGGTGAGTTCATTTCAAAGTTCAAAAAAAGGGAAAAAACCCCCCCGAGAAATTTTGAATTTTTAACCTATCACACACCGGGTAATTATTTAAGACGTCATTCAAAAATTAAATTTGATAATTTTTGGATAGGAAAATGTAAATGTTTGTCGGGGTTCAAGGGTCAATTTTGCGAACAACGTTGCGCTAATTGGAAATACGGTAGAAATTGCACTTTGGATTGCAGTTGCAGAAAAGAAAACAGCATCGGATGCGATTCCGAAAGCGGACAATGCATATGCAAGAATCAATATAAAGGTTCGTTACTCGTTTTGTTCAGTAAATTCCTTCTAAATTTACAAAAAAAAAAAAAAAATTTTCTTTTGGTTTTCCGTCAGGTATTCAATGCGAAACTCAATGTCCGAACGGTAAATGGGGTGAAGATTGCAGTAACGAATGCGTTTGTTTAAATAATTCATCTTGCGATCCCGTGACGGGGGCTTGCATTTGTGCGAGAGGATGGACCGGGGATTCGTGTGACGAACCTTGCAGGCCTGGATTTTTCGGAGAAGGTTGCAAAGAAAGATGTTCTCATTTGGTCGGATTCAACGGTGAGTAATTTTTTTAAGAGCCGTTTAGAAGGGATCAATAGGTAGGAGATTTTTTCAAATCTTCTTCGTCTTCAGAAGATGGAATTTGCGATCACGTAACGGGAAGTTTCAAATGTCGACCGGGATTTACGGGTAGCAGATGTCAAAATCCGTGTCCCGTCGGAACTTACGGCGATGAATGCAAGTTAAAATGTTCTTGTAAAAACTACGCGGATTGTCATCACGTGACCGGAGAATGTCGATGCAGGCCAGGTTGGACCGGGCCGACGTGTGCAAACGCATGTCCCAACGGTTTTTACGGCGTCGGATGCATTCAACCGTGTACGTGTTTCAACGGAGGAACGTGTAGGCCCATAGATGGATTGTGCAGGTGCAAAGCGGGATGGACGGGTCCTCAGTGTAAAGAAAGTAAGTGGGAAAGAAACCTTTTTTAACCTTTTAAACAATTTTATTGATATTAATCGTTTTTTTTTTGCAGTTTGTCCCGAAGGTTACTTCGGCGATCATTGCATGGAACCATGCGAGTGTCCAAATGAAAATTTTATATGTCACGCAGCAAAGGGTTGCGTTTGCCGTCGTAATTTCGGCGGAGAACTTTGTGATATCGAACTCACATCAAAAATCATAGGTAAAAAAAAATCCCGCCCCCCCCCTTCCCGCACACCGAGCATCACTCGAATTAATTTTTTTTTTTTTTTTCCTTCAAAAAAAAGGTGAAAAGTCAGAAAGCGGAGGTGGCGGTAGCGGTTTAATCGCAGCTGGAATTGTCGTAGCATTAATACCGGTTGTTATTATTATATTAATAATACATTATTATAGAAGACGGGAAAAAAATTTAAAGACTGAAATAGCTCACGTGCAATATATAGCGGATCCATCATCGCAACCAGGTGAGGAAACCTTTAAAAATTGAAAAATTTTCAAAATGGAGTACGAAAAAAACAATTTTTTGAAATGGAATTTCTTTCAGATCAACATCATTTTGATAATCCAGTTTACTCGTTCAATTCTTATCAAAAAGATGATGGTCTTCAGCCTTTGAACAACGTTCAGAAAATTCAAGTTAAAAATAATTTGTCGAAGAAAACAAATTTGGAAAAGCAAAAATTAAGCGAAGAAGAAATGTCACTCAGCGGTGAGTGTTGGGGGGAGGGGGGAAAACAATTTTTTTTTTTTTTGGTGTCGAAAGGTCTAAAGAAATTCGTGCCAAGTTTGTAATTAAAAAAATTTTTTTTTTTTTTATTTTGTTCTCCAGGAGCTTTTAACGTACATTTCGAACATCCGGCATCGTTGAAAAATCGCGAAGCCGACATGAACAATCCGAATTTTTATCAATCGATCGACGAATTCGATGAGAAAAAAATCGATCATTTATACGATGAGATAAAACAAAAAGAAGGTTTTAATCCGGGTGAGTTTCGGAAACCGGAAACGGAAGTGTTTTCTTTTATTATTATTATTAATAATTACAAAATTTTCCATTTTTTTTTTAGAATTAGAATACGATCACCTTGATTACAGCAGGCCGGGAAGTTCGTGGAAACCAAATTATCAAAGGATGCCGAATCCATTTTTAAAAGAATCAAATACGACGACAGATTCGAACGCCGACAGCAATTCATCAAATATTTCAAATTCAAATATTAATATTAATAATAATAGTAACAGCAACAGCAATTCAAATTCTGAAAGAAGTTGAAGATTTACATCACGGGAAAAGGTTTTTTTTTTTAAAAAAAAAAAAAAAGATTTCCGTGATCGAAAAGGATGAAAATTTCTCCAAAACGGGATCATCGTGGATTTCCCGAGTCAACAAAAAAAATTATTTATTTGAATCCCTTTTTTTCTCTTTCTAATATTTTACCGTCGATCGACAATCGTTTTTAATAAAAGAAAAAAGATGAAAGAGAAAGAAAAAATTAAAAATTTACAAAGTGCCAAAAAAATGCTAAAGAAAACCAACACACACACACACACACATATCGTCGCCATTTTGTTTTTCTTCTTTTTTTAAAGGTAAAAAAAAAAAAATTTAATTTTAAATATAATAACAAACGGAGTCTTCCAATTTTGCAATTTACATCAATAATAATAATAATAATAATAATAATAATAATAATAATAATAATAATAATAATAATAATAATAATAATAATAATAATAATAATAATAATAATAATAAAACAAAATAAATTCGTAAATTTTGTTTGTTTGTTTGTTCGTGCAAACAATTTTATACATATATATATATATATATATATATATATATATAGATATATATATATATATATATATATATATATATATAGATATTGAAATTACAAAAGATAAAAAATAAATAAATTATATTGTTAATGTTTTGTAAAAGTTTTTTTTTTTTTTTTAAAGAAAAAATTTATTTAAAAATAATATAATAAAATATAAATATATATTTTTTATTGATTTTATATAAATAAATAAAAATTTTTTGTATTATGTATATATATATTAAATTGTAAATTATTTGCTCAAAAAAAAAAAAAGCGCGGATACGAGTTGTGATTTAATAAATAAATAAATAAATAAATGATCGAATAAATTCTTATTATTATTATTATTATTATCATTCCTTACCGGAAATGAATTTTTTTTTTTTTTCCATAACCGAAAATTAGGTTTTTTAATATTTTTTATAAATATATATATTTTCGATAAGATTATTTTAATTAAAATCAATCGTATTGTAAATTGAAGAAGGAGGAGACAGGAAAAGGGGAGGAGGAAACAGTGGAAGGAGAGGAGGAGACGAACGAAAAAACGTGGATGTAGACAAAAAGAAAAAACGTTTGTGATTAATTATTTTGTGAGTCAAAGTTTTTAACGTAATGAATTAAGAAAATTTTCGATTTTACTTACTCGATCAGGTAAATAATTTTTTTTTTTTTTAACTTAAGTCCAAAAATCTTCGTTATTATTATTATTATTATTATCGTTTAAATCGAAATCCCAATCGGAATTTATTTTTTCACCGGAAAATTGGATTCTTTTATCGTAAACAAAATCAACATCATCTTTTTTTATTTGATTTTTAATAAATAACGTATCCATTAATTCTTTTTGTACGTTTAATTCTTTCGTCGATAATTTATTTAAATTTTCATTTAATTTTAATTCGTAATCGTTTTTTATAATTTCAACTCCTTCTTCCATTGTTTTACCATTTATCGTTATTTCTTGTAATAACCTTTAATAAAACGTAATTGCTTTTTAAAAAACGGTTAAACAAATATTATTTATAAACGTGTCATTAAATTAATATTTTAATAATAATAATAATTAACACACCTTATCATTTTTTTTATTTTAATCGATGGGATTTGTTTCAAATCATTCCTTTGTCGTAATTTTTCAAACGTTACGTCAACGTCAACAAATGGCGTATATTTTTTCAACGGTATTATTTTTCTTTTTAGTTTTTTTTCATCATTTGTTTTATACACGATAACTAATCCCGGAGGTTCAACACGTATCCCGCATTTTACTGGATTTATTTCCATCATTTAATTAAATACTTTAACAAGAACCTTATCAATTTATCAAAACATTGAAATTGTTACCGTGGCAACAGACAACAACAACAACGCCGTTTAAATATGCGACATAAATTATATTAAATTAAAATTTTTATATATATATATATATTTTAGCATGAATTATTTTTTTTTTCTGCTATAAATTTAACTCTCTCGTACGATAACGGTGGTAATAATAATAATAATAAATGGTTTAATTTACTTTTTAAATAATAATAATAATAATAATTCTTTTAACTGTGGTTAAAAAAAAAATTTTTTTTTGTGTGTCGATGTGTTAGGATGGATGTTATCAATTATTTTTTTTTTACTTAAATTTAAAAAAAAATTATTACCCAATTCCCTTTTTAATAAATTTTTTTAATATAAAAAAAATTATAAATTACATTTTTCAAATTGATATTATTAACTTAATGCATATACATAAATATATTACTTTTATTTTTAAATTATCGAACAAAAATAATTTTTTTTAGTATTTATTATTTAGATTTTTTCGTATTTGATTTCTCAGGTTTATCAATGTTTTCTTCAGTTTTGGGTTTATCTTTCTTTTTAGATTTTTTCAATTGTGATTTATTCGAATTTGATTTTCTAGTTCTCATTGCGAGTGCAAAACCGATCATTACACAAAAACCTCCAAGTGCAACAACCCAATTATTTTCTGCTATGTAATCAGCTATTAATTGTGTTAAATCATCGCTGAAAAAAAATACAAAAAAAAGAAAAAATTAAATTTTAATCATGTAGATTTATAAAAGTGAATATTTTTTCTAAAAATTTAAATCATTTCGAAAAAAGTTTTCAATTTACAATTTGACTAAAAGTAAGCGATTATTTTTGTCGAGTTTGATATTTTACATGAGTGTTTTAAAAATTGCAAGAATGATAATTAAAATCAAAGAATATTCAATTGAAATTTATATTTAACTTACAATGGACTTTTAGGCACAGGAACATTTTCACTTTTGGCAATTCTTTTGTAACCATCTGTTGCAAAATGAATCAATGCTTTAACATCATGCGACTGCAATTGATATCTGTACATTTTACCTTGGCGGAAGCTAATAAAAAAATATAAAAACATGAAATCAATCGATGAGTTTTAAAATAGATAAAGTTAAAAAATTTAAAACATACAAGATAAATGTTGGAGTTGTGTATACACCAAATCTTCTAGCTGTAGCAGCTCCTGTATCTAATCTATTAACTCTGGCAATGTTCATTCTCGTTTTTAAAGCAGCAGCCACAGCTTCCCATCTTGCAGTCAGTCTGTGACTTGTAACACATGTTTTACTATAACTGTAATTAAAAAATTATATTTTCATTAAATTACAATTTAAAAAAAAGTAATGCAATAGAAACTGGATTAATAATTATAAATAACTTACAATAAAACAAACCAGTCGCCAGTGGTTGCACCACTCGCTGCTTGAGTTAAATGTTCAAAATTACTATCATCTAATTCTCTCACATTTGGCTCTTTATTTTCTCTAAATGTATGTAAAATTAATTCATCATTTATATCACCACTGTATAATAAAGGAACGCCGTGTCTCATAAATACTAAGGCAGGTTCTTTAGCTGGACTGTAAATTTGTACCAAGTTACTGTTATATATTTTAACAACCCATGCATTCAGTGAATCAACAAGATCTTCACGAACGGACAAAAGTTCGTTTTCGATATTTTCACATTCTGGACATTGACGTTTAGCTAAAAAACATTAAAAAAATTTATTATTAAACTTTTAAAAAACAAATTCAATTTAAAAAAAAAATATTTAGGTACACCATTATGTTAAAAAAAATCTTACTGAACAAAACGACAACATATTTTTCAGTTGCACACAAATTAATAAATTCATTATCATCAACTTCTTCTAATGAATTATTAGAGTATGAAAAAGGTAAGAAACAAAGTAAAATAATTAAATTGATTGATAAATACATATTGACAAAGTGGCCTAATACCGGCCATTCAACCGATTTATAGAAAACAAAATGCAACGTGGCACCAACACTTATAGTGAAGTGTGCACGTTGTCGTAAGACTGCTTGCACGTTTCACATTTGACCAGTATAAAAATAACGGTCAATTTGAAAAGACTAAAATCTATGTTTAAGTAAAAATTTTCGATTTTATATAAAACTACAAATTGTAATTTAGTGTATAAGTGATTAGTTTTATTATAAGTTTTCTTTAATTTACGTTTGATATTTATAATAACAATAACTAAAACAAAAATGATGTAAAAAAAAAAAAAAAAAAAAATTATACCGTGGAGTGAAATTAAGAAAATTAAATAAGCAATTAATGTTAGTTTTAACTAATAATAAGAATGAAACACATAAAAGTATTTCGTAATTTATTACATTACTTTTCTTTATTTCAAATGTGAATACAAGTGTGCATTATCTAAAAGTTTTACACAAAACTTTATAAGAAAATTTAAGTTAAACCATAAAAGATGTCTACGAGCTATTTCCACCAAAAAAAAAAAAAAAAAATCAGCAGTATTCGATTCGGTTTATTTCGGTTTTTTCCGTTTAAAATCGGTTTTTCGCAAATCCCGCGTTGATTTTTCCAGTAAACTTCGGTCGCTTTACGAATTAACTTCTACGTGGAAAAAATAATAATAATAATAATAATAATTTTGTGATCTTCATTTTTTTCTCATTTTCTTCAGCACAGGGTAAGCATTAAAAATTTTATTTTTTTTTTCAATATGATAAAATTTTTTTTTTTAATATTAAAATTCTTTTTAATAATCTACACACGTTCGAGTATTTAAAATATAAAAAAAAAATAATTTTAATTGATAAATTTCGTTTTACAGTATAAATAAATAAATATATTGAAAAAAATTTTAATAAATTTATGTAAATATTACGAACGTGTTTGTATTTGATTTAAAAATTTGAGGAATGATATAAAATTTAAATTAAAATACGTCATGCTTTGATTTTTAATGATAACTCTTATCAAAACAAATCCATTTTAATAATTTTATATTAAAATAAATTTAGGTCGTATTGATATTGCTTCTCTCTCTCTCTTTCTCTCGCTCTCTTTTTATCAAAATTTTTTAGTGATAATTCAATAATAAAAATTTTTCTTTAAAAGAAAATTCGTACTAAAATAAAAAAAAAAAAAAACTTTTTAAAAAAAAAAAAAAACGTGAAAAGCATTTTAGTTGAGTTTTTTTTTTTTTTTTTAAAAAAAAAAAAGTTACTGAACAAAAACTTGAAAAAAAAAGAAAAAAAAAATTCATTCTGAACGCATTAAAAAATTTATTATAGGAAAAAAAAAAAAAATAACTTTTTATTTTCAATTTCCTTTTCTGTCATTTTTAGTTTCGATTTCGTTTTTTTTTATATTTTTTATTTTTTTTCGTTTTCCCCAATAATTTTTGACCGACCGGAATTTCAGGTTAAAAAATTTATTTATATATATTTCGTTGGAAAATTCAGCGTGAAAACATTTTTTTTTTTTTTACAACAAAAAAGAAAAAAGGAAAAAAACATTTAATTACTTTTATTACCGTAAATTTTTTCACATTATCACGAATTTTTAAAGTTTTTATAACACTCTTGCAAAAACTTTTATAGTTTTTTTTTTTTTTTTCCATAAAAGACAAAAAGAAAAACGTGAATAAAAGAAAAAAGGAAAAATCACACCCTTAAATTTTTCCTGACTAACCCATCGTGTTTAATTTACCATTAAAATTTAACTGACTCTTTTAACTTTTCAAAAAAAAAAAAAAAAAAATATAATAATACATAACAATCACATTTACTAACGTGACAATATAAAAAAAAAATTTCAATATAAATGATGACATTTTTTTTTTTTTTTTTTTTTTTTTTTTAGCTTTTGGGTGTATAAAAATTTATCCACTTTTGAATAATTGCTGTCAAAAAAAAAAATGTAAGAGAAAAATTTTTTTTTTTTCCTTCCATCGTACGAATTTTTTTTGGGGGGAGGAGAGGGAAAGACAAAAAAGGCAAAGAACGTTTTTAAAAAAAAAAAGGTCTTGAAAGTGCGTGTGTGCGTGCGTGCATTTGTTTGGTCAATTACTTTGTTTTTTAAACTCAAAATAAGATTTTTTATTATTTTTTTTGTTTGTTTGTTTGTTTGTTCTTGTTATAACAAGGAAGAAGACGAAAAAAAAGGTTTTAACACCAAAATTTATTATGTGGTTTTTTTTGTTGGAGGGAAACCTTAAACCTTTTTCTTTAATTTTGTGGGGGGAAGGTAATAAGTTTGTGACCGAAAATTGATTTAAAACGTTAAAATTTTAAACTGAAACGTTAAGTTTACCAAAAAAATAAAAACTTTATCGTGACGAAAAAAGGCGGGGAGAAAATGAATGAATCGTGAATTATTTTCAACAAACAAACGAACGAACAAACGTTTTCATTGATTTTTCCTTTTGGAAAATCTCGTTATAATCGTTTAACTTTCAATTATTTAATTGAAAAAGAAAAAAATTAAATCCAAAAACTAAAAATTTTCTTTTTCTTTTTTTTCTTCATCTTTCTTCCCTTCTTCCCTCCCCCTGCCCTTCTTCCTCTCTCTCCCCTCCCCTCCTTTAACCTAAAAAAATTTAATATATATATATATATATATATATATATATATATATATATATATCAGTAATTTTTTATCATTCTTAAATATAATAGCTTTTTTGGAAAAATTTTCAGCTTTTCACCTTTTTTTTGGTAACCTTTTGAGGGGAATTTTTTTTTTTTTTTGATTTCGTTTGTACCTCGGTAGATTTTGTTACCTTATTATTATCATTATCATGATCATTATTATTATTATTATTATATTATTATTATTATTATTATTATTATTATTATTATTATTATTATTATTATTATTATTATTTCACACTCGTCCTCATAATCTCATATGAGTTGAATTGTTATGATATTAAAATTTTTTTCTCAATTTCATTAAAAAAAAAAAAAGGGGGAAAATTTATTCCCAAAAGAAAAATAAACCTTTTTCGAGAATCATAACTAAAATGTTATGATTCCTTTTTTTTTTTTTTTTAATTATAATAATTTTATATATTTCGTTAATTACTTAAAATTTTTTTTTTTGAGTTTACGCCGCGTTTGTTTTTTGTATTTTTTTTTTTTTTGTACCTAAAACGCGCGAAGGATGTGTAAAAACGGGGAAAACCCTAAAAAAAAAAAAAAAATTTTCTCTCGTTTATAATTACCGCAGTTTGTTTTTTTTTTTATTTTCAAATATGGCGCGTTTTATACATTTTGAAAAAGGGAGGGAAAAAAAATATATTTAAAATAACGTTCAAACGCAAAAAACACTTACGCTCACGCCCGCCCGCCCAAAAACATAAATTATAACGTAAATACGTATTAAATCATTTATCCCATAATTTAAAAACTAATAGTAAAATTACAAGAATGATATATTTTTAATAAAATTAAAATTTTTATAATTTTATATAAAATAAAATAAGTTTTTTTTTTTAATTTAATTGGATTTACTTACATTTTTAATTAAATTTTATTTTAATATTTAAAAAAAAAAAAAAAAGTTTTCACTTAAAACTATTTAAAAAAAAAAAAATTTAATTATGCGTACTTTATGCAAGAAGTTACGCAAATTTTTTACTAATTAATTATGATAAATAATTTTTTTTTTTTAAAAAAATAAAATCCTTTGACGTTTTCCTTTCGTAAAAAAAAAAAAAAAAAACCTTTGAAAATGACAATAATAATAAATATTATTTTAAATTTAATAAGATTCGACAAAGGAAATAAATAACGCTTGTTTTCCGAATTCAATGATTTATTTTTTTCTTATGATCATGTGACGTAAAAAAATTATTTATTTATTTATTATTATTATTATTATTATTATTATTTTCAGATGTTTCGCCCAAGTCCGGGTGAAACACTTCGAGCCTGGCTGTTATCCGCACTTGTAGTTCATGGAGCCGTTGCTGGAAATCCGGATGCTAAACGTCTTTACGATGATCTTTTATCTAATTATAATAAATTAGTTAGACCGGTTGTTAACACGTCTGACGTTTTACGTGTTTGTATCAAATTAAAATTATCACAACTTATCGATGTGGTAAGTTTCATAACTTTTTCTAATTTTTTCTACTTTTTTTTTAAATAATTCGATTGATTTGCGATATATCGAACGATTATCACATTCACTACGTGATGTATATTATTATTAATCACGTTCATTGTTAACCCCGAAAATCAAATACTTTATTGTTTCGAAAGATTAATTATCCATCTCTTTCTTCTTTATTATTCCTATGGTTTCCCCCCTCTCCACACCTTCTCCTCTCCTCTCCTCTCTTATTGTTTTAATTATTAAACCGTCACTTTAAATCGTCTCTCTCTTAGTGAGTTATTTATTTCTATTAATTTTTTATATGAATAAAAAATAAAGGAAAGAAGGAAGGAAGGAATATGTTTAATAATAATAATAATAATCACTACTGTTTTTAAAAATTTAAATAAATGCAACGTTATTTCGAAAATTCTTTTTTAGTCTGCTCATGTTAATAAGCCAATAAATTTAAAATTTTCTATTTTTTTATAAATCCGATAGGTTATTTAATTTAAAAAAAAAAAAAATCCGCCATATTTGTTTTTAACAAAAAAAAAAAAAATCTCAACGACATTTAAAATAAAAACAAAAATGTGCAATCATTTTAATAATTTATGATAAAATAAAAATTACACACGGAAATTTATTTATTTATTTAAAAAAAAAATGCTAAAAACAAGAATCAAAGTAAGTTTATTATCATTATTATTATTATTATCATTATCATTACTATTATTATTATTATTATTATTATTATTATTATTATTATTATTATTATTATTAAAATAAAATTGAATAATATTTTTCGGTTTTGTGATTTTTCAATAAAATGACGATGACCACATTGTCAAAAATTTTATTCGATACCATTGAAAGTTTATTATACGAATAAAAATAAATTTCGTAACGTATAAAGGTTTTCAATGGAGGGGGAGGGGGGCGATGAGAGGGTTTTCACCGAATGAAAACAAACGAAAAAAATAAATAATAATGATGATAACAATCGTTAAAAAGAGGTATGAAAACACATATGTGTAACATCGTTTAAAAATAAGAAAAATAAAATTACAGAACTTTAAATTTCCGAATTATTCAATTTCCCCGAGGGAAAAACAACGGCAGACAAAATATGAAACACCTAAGAAATTTTCATCCCAGACGGAAAATTTAAATGATAATAATGATAATTATTATTTACGAAATTATAAAAATTATATACCCGTGTCGGAATACGAAATGGATTCTATGACTATCGAAAATAGTTTATCACAAACAATCGTCGAGGTAATTTATTTATTTATTTATTTTTTTTTTAAATATACGTAAACCGTGTCGACGGTTTAAAAAAAATTATTATTATTATTATCATCATCATTCGAATGAATTATTAGTCGTTCCAATAGTAGTAGTTAATAAAAGTGTCAACCGTAATAATTTATTTATTTATTTAAATATTTTTTTTAAAAAAATTTTTTTCATATCTCGAATGATTGATGAATCGATGGATCGATCGATCCATCGATCGATCGAATGAATGAATGAATGATGGAATTAAAAAATTAATTTACTCACAAAACAAAAAAAAAAGGGTGTGATTGATTTATTGTATTATTATTTCATCGTGAATTCGATTCTCGGCGTTCAATAATAATAATAATAATAATAATAATTTTTTTATTTTTTTTTAAATGTTAACAAATTTATTTTATGAAAGGAACAAATAAAAAAAAAATTTTCCAAAAAAAAAAAAAAAAGGGAAATTTCCGTGTTATGATTTTGTTATGATTTGATAATTATTCAAAAATAAAAAAAAAAAAAAAAAAAAAAAAAAAGGAAACAGTAAGCGAAATATCAAGGAGAAATAAATCAAGTTTGGAACCACAACAACAACAACAACAACATCATCATTATTTTAGAAAAGGAAAAAGAATATTACCGGTCATGCCTTTTTGGTGTTATTCATCGAGGAGGATTAAACCAGAAAGAGAAAAATTAAAAATTAACAATAAATATCCGTTTTCACCTCATAATAATAATAATCATAATAATAATAATATTTCTAACGAAGGTAATAAACTAATGTGACGAATTATTTATTTACACGCACGCACACACACACACACACACACGCATAATCCTCTATGAGAATTTTCATTCATTTTATTATCGTTCGTCGTACTCATCATATTATTATTATTATTATTATAATTTTTTTTTTTTTATTACAGCGAAATACGTTAAAAAAAATATAAGATATTACGATGATTTGAGAAGTAATTTAAAAAAATCAAACGTTAAAATAAATAAAAATTCTCAATGTTGTCATCGGTGTTGCGAGAGAAGTAACCATAACAGTAACAGTAATAGTAATAATAATAATAATAATAATAATAATAGGATAAAGAAAAAAGTAAAAAATAAATCAACGTGCGTAAGGAAAAAAAAGAGAAAAAATTTTATTGAAAACGATAATAAAATATACGCGAATATTTGTTCGAAAAATGATTTGAAATCGATATTGAAAAATTTTAAAATCGTCGACGGAAACACAGTAAATAATGATAAAAGGGAAATTATTTATGATAAGAATAAAAATTACGTTCCCGCTTATTTCGTTTTGAAATTGGAAAAAGGTAGTAAAAGTGAAAGTTACGAAGACGAAGGGGAAACAACCGATTGTAAAAATATTAAGGAGGAAAAGAAAAATAATAATAATAATAATAATAACAATAACAACAACATTTTCGAAACTAAAAGTTTTAAATTGATTTTTTCAAATGATAATTATAATGAAAAAAGTGTTAAAAGCGTTAAAAGTGATACGAAACCTACGACAGCAGACGATGAGTCTGTAGAAATATCCACGACTTTTTTTAGAGACAGTACGACTCAAACGACGAACGTAAATAAAGAATCACACGAAAATCATTTTTCTAAAGATCAATTTAAGGTAATTAATATTTTTTATCCCGTTTTTTCCTTCTTCTTTTAAAATGAAAGAGAGAGAGAGAGAGAGAGAGAGGGTGAAAGAAATGAAAAGCATTGAAAAAAAGACTGAAAGGGAGAGAGAGAGAGAAAAAAAATTATAAAATTGAACGGTGCTAATCATAAATATTATTATTATTATTATTATTATTATTAGCATTCGATAAAAAAATAAATTTGCAAATGACAGGAAAAAGAAAATAGAATATAAAAATAAAAAAAAAATTTTTTTCTTATTCGATTTATAATAAAAAAAATTAATTTAAATAACAAGGAAGACGACAAAACAAGTCGTCGGCCATATTGTCATATATATTATCATTATTCCTCGTTAATTTAAATCATATTCGAATGTGGAGTCGGGAAAGTGGGAGGCGGAGGAAAATTTTTTTTTTTTTTTCAACTTCAGATCTCTCACTTTCACTTTTTCTTTCTCTCTTTCCCTCTCTTTTCCTACACACAAATATATATTTTTTTTTTTTTTTAATTTTAATTTTGCCAAAGGTTCGTTTTTTTTTTTTTTTTTTTTTTTTTTATTATTATTCAAAACAACATCCCTACAAATAAAATAAAATAAAAAAAAAAAATCTTTGGTTTGGTTTGGTTTTTATTCGTTTTCCGCCCCCCATTTTGTTTTTTTTTTTTTGTGTTTCTTTTATTTTGTAATTAAAAACAATAAAACAAAATTTTATTGGTTTTACCCCCCGCCCGCTTCTCTCCCCTTTTTCCACCCCTCCTTCCGTTCGGATTCTTTTTCCGTTATTAATATTTCCATCGTTTGTATAAAACGACGTCATTTTTTCGTTTAAAAAAAAATTTTTTTAATTCTTCATATAAATATTTTAATTTCACCGATTAAGACGACGACAGCAACGACGACAGTAACGACGACGACAGCAACGACGACAACAACAACAACTACAAAACCGCAAAACTAATAATAATAATAACTTTAAACAAATACAAAACGTAACATCACATGCAAGAATTTCTTTATTGCAAGGCACAAAAAAAAAAAAGATTTTTATAAAATGTTTAGACGTAATAATAATAAATTAACAAAAACATGACAAAAATGACTTTTAAGTTTAAGAAAAAAAATAGAAAATAATTTAAACAGCAACCAAACAAAACAACAAAACTTTTGATGTTTGTTTATTTATTTATCAACAAAATACAGTTTAACTTATTTAACATTTTCTTATTATTCTTATTTTTACTCTTTTTAATGAACGAATCGTTTATAAATTTTATATTTTATTTAAACTTTTTGACGATCCCCCATCTCATTCATTTAAAATTATTATTATTATTATTATTATTATTATTATTATTATTAAAAAAATTTTTTAATTCATTCATATTTTTTTTTTTTAAAATAAAAATATATAAAAAAAATTTTTTTATTTAATCGTGAGAACTAAAACCATCTGTCACACAAAATGGTTTATGTATATAAAAAAAATCTACTTTAAAACTTGTAGTTTTTCTTTTCTTTAAGTCTTTTTATAAAATAATATTTTTCAAAGCTTTTTTTTATTTACCCAAAATATAATACAGAAAAAAACATTCGGACAACGTAAAGATAAATTTTCCCAAAGGAAAAATTCATATGAAAAAAAAAAAAAATTTTTGTAAATTAAATTTTCCATATAATAATAATAATAATAATAATAAAATCACATTATGCATAAAAATTTTAATTTTAATAATGTATATATTTATGTATGTACGTAATCGAATGCATAAAATTTTTTTTTGCTTTAACAAGCGATGAAAAAAGGCATTTTTTTTTACCTCGTATAATTATCACTATCATTAAAATTTGTTGTTTTGCATAGTTGGCAAAATCGATATAATTTTTTTCCTTTTTTTTTTTTTAAATTAATGAAATATTTATTGATTAATTTAAATAAAATAAAAAAAGGCAAAAAATTTAATACGAAATGAGTCGTTAACGCCATTTTTTTTTAAAAAGAAAAACTTATTTACAATTTACTTTTATTACCGAGTACCAAAGA